CCTGCGGGATACAGTATTATCTGAGTGACATTTGCACCCTCATGCTCCCAGTTTGCTTCCAGTTTCCAGCTCTCACTCACAATTATCTTTATTGTCATCTATTCAAACAGAATCTCCAGGGAAAGGAAATTAAATGTAGCTCCTGCTGCGTGCTTTCTGCTCCTTACAGTAAGAAAAAATGCATCTTGACAGTTAAAAGCCCCTTTTCAGACACTTCATTACATAAATGCACTTTTATATGTCTGACTAATGTATGAATAAGCAACCAAGACACTGTAACACTGCACGGCTAAAGCTTGGTTTAAATATGTAAAGCCATCTTAAATGCATTTCTTGTTTCGCCTTGTTTAGAGCACTGCAATCAGTCTCATTTATCTATCATACTGTATGCAGAAAAAAAAATAATAACATCAGTTTAACAAACCACAAAATACTGCTGAGATAATTCTTATCACACCAGATCATTCTACCACCATGGTATCCCCAAACAACAAAAACTATTGGCCTTTCTACCGAAATGTTTGACTTTCATTCACTACTCCCAGTGTAAATGATCTACAAAACACACAAAACAAAAACATGCCTGGAAACTTGAAATCTAAACTGAGTATCTTTACGTGTAACTTGCAATTTATTGCACCTTTATTGTCTTATAAGGCCTTCAAACTCACGCCTTCCTGAATAATGTTTATATGTCACTGGTACCTGAATTCATGCCCTAACCAACACAGCCCCTTATACATTTTTAATGCAGGGCTGCTTTTGGTCAGAACATCTGCTAAATGCTAAGATGCAAGAAGAGGGAGGCGCTTAGAAGCCTGGGTGGGGCTTCTGAGCTAGAAGAACAAACTCTTCCCTCTTCTGTCACTGACAAAAGGTCTAAGAACAAAATGTGTCCAATCCAGGTTTGATGACGTTGACCTTTTCCCTGGCCATCGCCTGAACTCAAACCTGAATTTCAGATGAGCTCATATATATTCAGCTGAGTCTCATCCCCCTCCTGATGCTCTGGAGACCGTTGTCTCATCCAGAGCAGCTGCCCCCTCCTACTCTCTATCAGCACCAGACCGACCATTGAAATAACAACACTGAGAGTCTAATTCCTGCTGGTTGCCTTTACATACGCTGCTGCAGCGGTGCTATTTAGACCACATTACAACAGAGTTTTTATCTTCTGGTGAGCGTGGAAATGCTCAACAAATTGAATGGCAAACTTCCCTTTAGATGTTGACAGCTTGTTTTCTAATTTGACATTTTGGTTTTACAATGCTGTCAGAGGAAATTGAGAGGGTTCATTGTCTGGGGAAATTAACTTGTTTCCAGTCATGTCCATCTACACATTCAATCTTGATAACGCTTGTGCTTAACTTGAAGCTATGGCCTGATGGTTGTGCTAGAGAAAATGCCATGGAAAAATAGGAATCTTCTATCTGTCCCAGGAGGAAATGTCACCAAAAATATATTAGGATTCATCCTCTGAGGACCGTGAAGGTCTACAGCAAATTTAAAGGAAATCAGGCCATTAGTCTTTGCAGTACACTGGGCCTCTAGCCTTCTTTGCCTGGGTCATATTTCAGCCTTCTCGGGGATTCATCAGAATCATTAAGATTCATCTGCAGGGGACCATTAATATCTGTTGAGAATCTTGTAGTGATTTGGCAGGTAAGTGGATCCAGAGATTAATTGACATTGCCATCTTTATACCATGCTCCTGGTGGTCCAAAAATGCAATAATTATGTAATAATATAAATAATCTTTATCTTTGCCATCCTCTTATTCCCTTTTGAGACCAACACAGTTACGCAGAGCAAACCCTCCTCGGCAGTCTATCTGAATGGGTCAGCATGCAGAAATTGTGTATGTTGTGGCACTGTTAGACCAGTATGAAGATTTTATTCATGTACCTATAATTGCTATTTTACTTAATGTACAAAAACTTTTGGTTTCTCTCTTTACACATTTCTGTTTTTGTCAATCTCTCTGTATATTGAAGCACAGGGAATACACAAATGAAATCCACAAGGATATCTGTAAATCAATGATTCATTCCTTTGAAGGGGGGATGAGATGGTATGATCTCAACGGATGCCGTCAGCGAGAGGCAGTGTGACCTCCGGGCCTCTGAGAGTCCACTCTCTTCATTAACAGTCAGGTAAATATGTTATTATGGCCCAAGGCAGTCACTCACTTCCACCTGAGCAAGGAGCCTGGGTTGCCTGGGGCAACAATGAGCCCAGCATGTGAAATGGGATCCAGTCCATGAAAATATTGTTTTTGTAGTATTTTGTGTTTGTTTTTGTCAGTTTGCAGTCATGAAAAATTTGATTGTTTTTTTTTCCAAAGTTTTGTCCTCTCGGCATTCTTTCAATCTGTCCAACTTTTCTCCTCCACTCTTCATACTTGTTGCCTTCCCTTTCTTCCTCCCATCTGCCCATTCTCCTTGCTCTCTGTGTATTTTTCTTTCTCAGACTGTCCATAAGGAACAGGCTCTTGTTGTGGAAAACCTTGGCTGAAAAGTGAAATGGAACACATTTACTGTCTTTTAAGTAAGTAACTGTCATGGCTCTGCTCCTCTCCTGCTCCCTTTGCTCCTTGTCCTTCCCTGTGTGTGTGTGTGTGTGTGTGTGTGTGTGTGTGTGTGTGTGTGTGTGTGTGTGTGTGTGTGTGTCTAATTAGGGTGCGGCCTCCATTCACCTCACCTGTGCGCTGTCTGACCTGCTTTCAATCATTCATTAGTCTCTGCCCTCAAAAACCCCGGTCTCCCCTTCATTCGGGGCCAGATTCTTAGTCAGCAGACTTGGTGGTACTCCCGTGCCTCCTCTCAGTGAGTAGCTAGTTCCATGTGGTTTTCCTGTACCTGCTCTCCCCTGGGATCCTATCTCTCCAGAGTTTCAGGGATCCATCTCTTCAGAGTTTCAGGGATCCTATCTCTCCAGAGTTTCAGGGATCCATCTCTTCAGAGTTTCAGGGATCACTCTCCTGCAGTTCAGGTTCCAGAGTCAGCTCTCCTGTGTCTTCGTGTCTTCAGTCACTCCGCCAGTTCATCAGCCTCCCATGCTGGTCGGTTCCCTGAATCGGCTCCCCAGTGCTTCCGTGTCTTTGGTCTCCCTGCCGATTCTCCAGCCCATTCCGGCCAAGGCCGCCCCTCATCCCTCCCAGTGTGTGTGTTAATAAAGCCCCTTAAAACCCTTCATCCAGTCTGTGTGTCTGCTCCTGGGTCCAGCCATAACACTATCCCTGACAGTAACTTTACTTACTTTACTTTACTGAGTAACTTTCTCTGTATGAGACAACATGGGTGTTTTTTATTTAGTAAAGTGGATAGAAAACCCTTCGGAATAACCTTTTTACATAGGAAATTTTCATTCCATTTGGGTTTCTGATCAGGAGGTCCAAGTGGTACCTATCATAGCTAAATATTGAGGCCAGTCCCAAATGAAGGAGTTACTAATGTTACGAGATGCTGGCTCCAGAGTGGCCCCATTTAAGTATGTTTCTCTTTGTCACCAATACAAATAAAATATGAAATGAACTAGGGCTGTTTAATGTGAGGAAAACCCTGTAGTCAGCATGCCTCCTGGACAAAATGTGTAACATGTTGAAGCCACATTTGCCAGTAAAAGTTGAATGTTCACTCAAAATGCACTTGAAACATTACATTTTCTTGAGTTGCATGCCCTATCAAAATTTTACACTGATCTAATGCCTTGTCGACCAAGTCTTGGTCCAGCTCAGCTCAGTCTTTGGGTATGGTGGTGGTTGCCATTTTCTATCTCGCCTCCTTAACTACATCCTAGTCTCCAAGTATTAAAAAAAAGATTTGATGGCTCAAAACAACAATCAATATTGAAGAAACCTTCAAAAAGCCCCTCCCAAAAGCTATGACTGCTGTCACAGAATATGGAAGGATGCTAATTTGCCTCCAGTGTTCTTTTACCCACCTCAGCTTAAAATTAAACCATTTAAAATCAGTCCTTACATGTGAACATTTTACATGATTATCGCTGTAATCAAATTATTTTAGTTTGAAGAATAATTAAGCAATCCCAATGTTGGTGTGGGTTATTGTTTAAACCACAAAGAATCTCAACTAAACGTTTAGGTTTTTAATAAACTGTGTCAAAGTGAGCACTTGTCATGTACATTTCATTTCTTTTTTTACTATCTGTCTTTGTTTTCCTTCCAAATAAGTTTAGCTACCCTAAAAATGTGTTTACAACCTGTCCAACAAATATATAATTAATGGAAAACTGGACAGAACAACAATAAAAGTCGAAGCCACTGGAGGTATTCAGGTTGCAGGCATTAAAAACATATCCTCCAGTGCAGATCCTGGTGAACATGTTCCTCAGATGGAAGCCCGTTGCTCCAGTCTTCGACCTCACATAATTGGCTCGCCCTTCCTGACTGTCACACGACGATCAACGACCCTAATGCTGCTTGATGACACACTAATCCGGATGACAGTGCTAAGCTGCTATATAGGCATCATGTGCTCGCTGTGAAGCCACCGGACATTTTCAGTTTTCCGGCAAGAAGGCAAAGTCGTGAATTTGATTCAGTGCTGAGTTTTGACCTCTGCTCTTCTGCCTGTGAGGGACAGACTGAGGGGGAGACAGAAGGGAGAGAGTAGTATCTGCCATACAGTACAACACTGTGTGTATTTGTGTGTGTGCATGTGTGTATTATTCTCAATTGCGAATGTGATGCCACATAATCCAACAAAAATTCTCAAGTATCAAAGAAAAAAGAATCCAGAAACTTATTGAAGTAAAAAAAAAAGACGGAATCTCAAAAGAACTTCTCCTGGAGGCTGGTCAGGGGTGGGACAGCTAAACTAGTTGTGGCTGCTGCTGCTGGGTTAACATTAACATTACTGTCCTCCTCTTCCCTCTTAGCATTGTCCTCGCCACCAGGCTCCTTGGTAGGGAGCAGCACCAGAACGATGAATAACTCCTTTCACACACATGCAGTTATGTGATCCACTGTTTATATAAATATTTAGATTATTAAAACGATGCATGATATTCATTTTAATTGTACAATATCTCCAATCAACAAGTTCAGATTATAAATACATTTATTCTCTCAATGCTGCCTTTGTCAAAGCAGTTCTGTCAGTCATGGCCGGCTTATTATTTCTCATTAAATGTTCATATTTGCATGCCTCTGTGTGTGAGTGCTCCCCTACCTGCTAGGGCCTGGTGGCATACTGTTTGTGTGTGTGTGTGTGTGTGTGTGTTCAGCTGTACTGGCTTTAAGCAGGTGCTCAGGTGTCCTTGGCTTGAACTTGACACTCGCCTCATGAATCAATCTCCACTCTAGGGTTATCTGGCAGTAGTGTAGGCAACTGTGTGTGTGTGTGTGTGTGTGTGTGTGTGTGTGTGTGTGTGTGTGTGTGAGAGAGAGAGAGAGAGAGAGAGAGAGAGAGAGAGAGAGAGAGAGAGAGAGAGGGAGAGAGTATAAGAGGCAGGTTAAGACTGGCCAGGAAGGTATTAACTTCTGATTGATTCATTTGGCTCTAATCCACCTCCCAGTGAAAGGTGCAGCTCGACTCCCTCCTTTTCTAAACATTATTTACTCAATATTCTCACACACCTCAGTACCAGACATAAAGCTACTCAAAAATTCTCCTGCAGCTATTGTTCCTCTTGACTTCATTTATTTTTCTGTATGAGTTCTTCATGACAATCCCTCTAGCCCCCAAAGTCAGTGTTTCTGCAACTTGTCATTTTTATTTAAAAAAATCATATAAACCTGTTGAGATGAGCCATTTTTGTTTTTTTAAGGGGGTCCTTAGACACATAGACAAGTCACTGCAACAGCAGATGTTGGTCAATGATTTATTAGCTAAGTATGCATTTATATATTCTTTTTATTTTTCTATTTCTGCTAACACGGTCAGTGTTAACATTGTGATGACCCCTCCCACTCTGGTGGTTCTGTGTATTTTTCCCTTGTTTCTTTGCAGGAGACAGAGTGGCAGGGGTGTGGCTATAAGATGAGCTACACTTGATTCCTTCCTGGTTACAAGGCTTTATAGGGGGTTGATCAGTTGGTTATCTCTCTCTCCTTCCAGCCAGCAGGTCCTGGGTTTGTTGCTTTCTTTGGTTTGATAAATCCCATTACCTTTTTTCATACACAACACTTCATCCATGTCCACACACACACACTCACTACACTACTGACAACACTGATGTACATGTATATATTGGTTGATTACATTCACACAGGTCACCATTTAACTGCCGTAAAAACTTTTTCCAAACATTTCCTTTCCTTTAAATTTCTTAAGTGCCAACTGATGCCGTGAACCAGAGTCTGACAAACATGAAGCTAAACTGATGAAGTGGATAATGGCAGTTTTCTCAACTTGACTTGAAAGCTATTAGTAAGCAGAAGAGCGAGAGAGATGGAGAGAAAAAAGAGAAAGCAATTATGATTAATTATCTGGTGCTCATGTGTGCATACATTTTTTGTGTGTGTCGTCATATCCTTTAGATTTAATTTTGCTGCAGCCTTCACAAGTCCTCTTTTGTTGCATATGTTGTGTATGAAGGGAACTGGTTGTGCTGGCATGTATGAAGGCCTCTGGCTGACAACCTCACAAGTAATTACATTTTTAACATCCACACACACACACACACACACACACACACACACACACACACACACAACACATCTTCTTCCCCTTAGATTATTAGAATTTGTGCCCTAGCATCAGTCATGAATACTGCATATTGTTTAGATAGGTCATATCATACTTTCATCATCTCTTGCATAAAAGAGAAAAAATCGAGAACACTAAAAACTGCCACAAGAACCAAAAATAGGGAATAGCATCAAAAAGTTGTGTTATGTATATTAGTATGTCTCTATGCATTTAAGTAGGCTAATCCAATTAAAATATTACTTAACCATATTATTTAAGAAAGTTCTTATTTTTCCTAAGTTTGAGAAGAGGAGGTCATGAAGAGTTTCCCACTGACGACTTTATTTCTGTGGACAAAAAGGGAGGAGGGATAGAGGAGGTGAGAGGGAGTGCTGCTAATGAACAGTGAGCATGAGCGTCTGACAGAGAGCATGCCTGAATCATTTGACTGACAGGTGTGGACTGAGATTGTGTCTACCGTGTGTGTGTGTGTGTGTGTGTGTGTGTGTGTGTGTGTGTGTGTGTGTGTGTGTGTGTGTGTGTGTGTAGGTGTGTGTGGTCCAGAGGAAGGTTGTGACACTGACGCCTTTTTCAGATTCAAACAAGGTTTCACTCCGAGAATACTGATAGAAAGCTACAAGACATAGGGTAGGGAGAAAGTGGAAAACAGACCAAACAGACCAGAACATGACCCCAGAAGGACCTTATGGACCGGTCCATGAAAAAAAAAAACTAACAAAAAAAAAAAAACATCCAGGTTTATTGGGGAGTGAGATGCTAAATAAATAAATAATAGACATACTTTACATTCAGATAGATGAATTGACTCAACCACTGTTAGATGATAACATGAAATGTACCAAAGTCCATATTCCACAGAGATGAATCCTTGATAACTTTTCAAAGTGACTTTCAACCTTAATCATACATATGTTCATATATACGTCATTCAAGTTTCTGGAACAGGTTTGACTTTTTTGTGTTTTTTCAGATGAGAGAGACAGGGAAAGCGTAGCTGTTGGGCCAAATGCAACATGTGGGAAGAGAGCGGTGACAGCCTGCGGAGGAACCTCCAGCGTAGAGAAGCAAGGAAGGATAAAAGAGAGATTGAGTGAGAGACAGAGCGATGGCAGTGAGCAGACAGCTCCTTTATCAGCAGGTGAAACCTCTACATGTTCTTGACACTTGGACCCAATTACTGTACTTTTTCTTTTTTTTTTTTCAAGTGAGAGGACCACGAAATCATCCTCACTGCTCGACGACTCTCTCTCGTAATGTGAATTTCGCAATGGATAGAATAATAAAATGCATAGTGTGCATGGTTTCTATGCGTAAATAATTTAATTGGATGATGGATTAAAAAAAATGCATGGAAAAAATACGGACTTGATGCATGTAGTCTTTTTCTCTTCCATGTCAAAGGCAGCATATTTTTCTCTGAAATCAGTTAGTTGAATTCTTCTGCTAAAAGTTATTTTACCTTTAAGACTGGGCTCGGTTTTGAATGTCACATCACTTCAGACAAAGACAAAATCAATAATGTACCTTAAAAGTTCCAGCGCCACTTCAATATTCAACCTCAACCTTCAGCACATGTACAGCAAAATATAAATCAGTTTTTTTGGTTAAGGGCATAAGATGCAAAACAGATTTCATTCCTGTCTTTTTGATGTGTGCGTTCAGAGACGTTTTAACTATACTAATCTTTATTTAATAATACTGTACATGAGAACGATACGCAAAAGTTTCCCATCATTGTAGTATTCAGGAGTTAAATGAAGGCGAATCACTGAAAAGCTACAATCTATTCACAACAGATTTCCTTTACATTCATAAACTGCTGGTTTGCCAGGGGACTGACTGTGTTAACATTTGCATTTACTATAAATCTTCTCACTTATTGTTCATCCCATAAATTTTCTCGTGATTACCCATAATTTGAATGGAATGGGATCTTTTCTCTTTTTTTTTCAGACAAAAGTTCGTAATTATTCATTAACCTCCCGATAAGTGTTCCTGAACGTGCATCATTAACATTTTCGCAGTTATTTTCCTGCAGCTTGACTGGCAGTATTATATAAAACATACCCCATTTGCTGCTCTCCAGGATGCGAGGCAATTAAAGAACAGTATTTCTCCCTCTCATGAAGTAGGTCGCGGCTAATTGCATTTGACGATGAAGAGTGGGAACATACTGCGGCAGAAATTACATGCAAGGCTTGTCACAACAGCTGTATTAATAAACATGGAGACAAAATGCCTGTGGAGTTTGTATTTGGATGGCTTTTGACAGCACAGATTGCACATTTATTTGACCTTTAACAAATTAAAAATGCAGATAAGTTTTTCTTGAATCTACAACTTTGTATGTTGTAGAAAAACTGCAATAAAGCTGATTTATTTAGGGAATAAGTTAATATGTCCCCATACTGGATTAAGAACAACAAGGCTCAGTTGCTGTCATTTTAATTTCCTGTCTAAGAAGACATGTTGCACTATAGAGTGATTAAAAAGTTAATGATGTGCTGTGTTAATTCTTTAATTCAGCTATGAAAAGACAACATATCTTCTTTCATGAATGTCTGCTTGCTAGGCACACATCAGCTCTGTGTTCTCAGATTACGGTTTATTGTTTTTTAACACTTAATGGACCCTGGCTGCAAATAGGGGTTTATCTCGCAGGCAATAAAGGTGTTGCTATAAATGTTATTATGGTCAAATTTATTAAAGGCTGTAATTTGGTTATAAAAATCTGTTTTGTCTGAAGCTAAATGGATATTAGAGCATCTTTGTTTATAATTAATCACTCGATAACACTGGTATTGACTCTCACCCACAGTCACTGCTGGGTGTGCTTCTCAAAGATGTAGTGAACTCTTTTATTTACCTTTATTTAAACCAGGTAAAAGTTTCGCTGAGATTAAAATCTCTTTTACAAGAGAGAGCTGGCCAAGAACACAACATTAAATCAATGTTACGACAAAGATACAATACAAACAACATAAAAAGACAATGACAAATGCAACTTGCTGCAAAAAAGCATACAAATAACTACTTTAGAAGCATATATAAGAATATGGGATCTTAAAATTGTCTTAATAAAGTAAAAACAATAAATTATGATGACAAAGAATGCTATTTTCCAGATTCACAGAGTAATAACTTCAAGGTTTGTACATTGTTAATTATTGTTCCCTTACTTTTTCCATCTCTGGGAAACAACATCTGTAGAACATTAAGAGTAAGAGTGCATAAAGTAAGTTTGGATTTCTACACATATATGTGCACATATCCAGCCCAAGGAGAGATTTAAAAAATCCCTGAAGGTCCTCTTACTATATAAAGCATAAAAGACAACCGGTAATAGAAAGAAGAGCACAGTGGTATAGTGGTTCCCCGTCTATGGCGCCAGGACCCCATAGAGGGGGTGCCAGATAAATCCAACAGATTGCAAGCTGATAAACTAGATTAAAAAACATTTCTGCTACACAAGTGTGAAATACTGGAGTTTGACCTGCTCACAACCTGTGAGTAGACACTGCCTCGCTTATATGATCACCAGCCAGAAAGGTTGGAAGCCACTGGTATATCCAACATTTTGGGATTGAGAAATTGGGAAGGTGCAGTCACAAAAAGCAATCACTGTAATCTAAAAACAGTAACGAGGTGCTGTATTGTGTTTGTGTTACCTTAGAATGAGCTGAAACACTGGATCCAAACAAGGCAAGGGGATTATATTTGCATGGAACATTTCAAAGTCCTTCAGTTTACCCCCCAGTTGGTAATGTGTTGTACAGTTTTTCATTTTGATGTTCTGTGTCATGTTGATGTGTTGGGTTTCTGTCTGTCACACATCTACCTCTCAACACATTTTCAGACGCTTTTAAGATAAATGGCTCTTGTGCCACTTTGTTGTCTGTCCTCTACTGTCCTACTAATACCGTCCAACATAAGTGATGGCAACGACGGGAAGGTGATGGCGAGCAGCAGGTGGCTACATGGCTCCATTATTTGGTCTTTGACCCGGAGAACAAAGTAATGGAACAAACACAGTTGGTTTCCAGGCAGCGTTTCCACAGCCCTCATGGCACAGGACTCTCAAACAGGCAGACAGTGAAAGACATCAAAGACAGGCTATACAAAGAGGCATTGTCAAGGTCCATGATTTGCTTGCTCACCTCTGATGCCTCATGACTCATTGCTCAGTTGGACTTCAGCAGGAAAAGCACACAAACATCAACAGTAGCACAGCCGGGGTTCATGGAAACCATGTCATCGTCCCTAAAACATCAAAAGTAAGCATCAGGTGCCCTCAGAATTTAAAGGGCGCCTTTGGTGCGCCATTCATTTTAAACTGATGTTCAACTATCATACAGGGAAAAATTAATTAGATAGCACTATTTAATTAGCTTGTAAAACAGATAAGACAAATTGAACAAAAACAAATTGTTTTACTTTGTGGCTTCATTAAATGTGTATGTGAAAATGCACTGGACTGATACATTTAGTCACTAACAAAAAATCTATAAGTCCTGCTAGCGTCCCTTAGAGGCCATGTTGTTCACTTCAATATAAAAAGTGTGGTGATGTATAAACTTATTCAACGTGCTCTCAGTTATGGTGTAAAGCATGACCACTTTAATTGTCCTTGTTTTTTAGTGTTTCTGCAGTGCAAAGCACAATCCAATTGTTTAAGACTTGAACTTACAAAACTAATGACATTCACGTCAGCCTCAGCTGTACTTTGTGTTGAGGGTTAAACAGCAAATGTATGCTAATACACTAAACTATGATTGGGAACGTGGTAAACCTGCTAAATGTCACTGTCAACATGATAGCATGTAGCTAAAAGTACCGCCTCGCAGAGCCACTAGAATGACTGTATAATACAAAAGTTGTATGATAGTTTATGTCATATGTTACAGTGAGTTATTTTCTTGTTAAAGTAGCATGAAGCATCCAAATGAAATGACTGGCTGGACGTCTTAGGTCTGTGACTGCTATAGACAGCAGATTTTTTTGATAGAGGATTTGATTCATTTATTTCTGTCAAAATGTAAAGACAATTTCAGCAACAACAAAAAGTGCTTCTGAAACACATCACATACCATAGCTTTACAATATACAGATGGAGGAACTTCAGATTTATATTTATTATCTTGTCCATTTTTTATGTTTTTATTTTTTTTATTGCTGCTGCTGCTGGTCACTCAGTTTCCAAACAAAATTCAGCCCACAATGACAAAAAAGTGTCTTACGTCAGTATTGTTGCTATGGTTACCTGCAGTTTAATATACCTTGCGCACTGATTTAGCATCCCTGTTTTAGGTGTCAGCCATTCGTAAACAAATATTTATTAGTGGCCATATACACACAGTCCTTTGTCAGTTGATCGGTGTGTTCTTCATTTCCTGCTCAGTCTGTAGCCTAGCTAAAGCCATTCTGATTGAGCTATAGAGATTTTTTATGATTTCTCCACTTCATACAGAATTTCATGGGTACACACTGAATATATATATACATATATATATATATATACATATATATATATATATATATATATATATATATATGCATTGAAAGCATTTAATCTCCTAAATTTCGAAGGAAAAAAAGGGAGAAAATGAATAAAGAAAAGAAGAAATTTCATCCACCTCGGCTGAGCTCTGGGTTCGGTTGCCGTGATGTTTGGAGAGGCTAATGCGCTCTGGCCTTGTGTGAAGACCAGACCGTCTGCCGTCAGTCACATCCCCTCCGTCATTGAGGACGGTCTCATTAGAGCTCTCTCTGGCTTTTAGGTGGTGCTCAGACTGCTTCACTCTCTCACTTTGTCTCTTCTTGTCTCTTTGTCTCTCACTTTTTGTCACACTGCCTCAGTCTCTTGTGTGTTTTGAATATCTCAACCATGTCTCTCAGAAATTATCTTCTTTACCTGCATAGCTACCTTGTACGGAAGAGGATTAAGGCCACATGTGAACAATTTATTTGAGTTATGCACTTAAAGTTAGAATACTTAGATTGCGTTTTTTAATTAATTAATTCATTTTAATTACTTTAAACTCAGAACTCACATGTGGCCCTATTTTAAAAAGAATAGTTGTGAGGGAAACTATGTTCAAGGATACAAGGTTATTTAATTGTTATTTACAGTGCAGCGTTGTATAATGACATTCAGGTTGTAGTTTTCTTTGTGCTAAAAAATGCATATAGAACATTTTGTTTTTTTTACAATAAAATTGATGAATAAATTATAAAAATAAAAAAAGGCAAGAAAAGAGAGAGAAATTATAATCTGGATTACAATTTTTTGGCTGGATATCCATCATTGGTCTTAATAAGTTTTGATACTTGTTACGTTCCCCCGTTACTAAGATGGACTGTTTGTTTCAGACAACATCGACATACAGATGGGTGACAATTTAAAGTAAAAACCTAAACAAACCTAATAGTCTCTTGAACCCTCTCCATTCACCCATAGGTGTTCACCCCTTGTGTCCTGTATGAAAGCATACGCATTTGTCATGTTTTTCCACTAATTCATTCAGGTGTTTCCTTTAATTTGTCACCTGTCTGTGTATTTCTGAAAACATTCATTCATTACAATTAGGTAGTAGTTAAGGTAATCAATGCTGTGAGATATGACATCTTTTCCTAACCCTAACTGTCAACTGGGAACACTGATCTTGTGACTTTGAATGGACCAGCAACTGAGCCCCTCGATATGGTTGTCACAGTGTTTGCTGTATCACCTCAAATCCCTCTATTAAACTCTTTTCTCCCATCAGCCATTTTTGTTCTCCCTCTCCGTCTGTCTCCACTTTTCAGCCTCTTTGTTCTCCATCGACCCTCATGGGGCCACTTGTCCACTTCAAGTGCATCTTCATTTCAAACCCACCTGTTAATCACAGACCTGAAGAGAGAACCTCACAACTGCAGGTGAACTGAAGATTAACTCGAGTCTTTACAGTGTGAGAAAGCAATAAAATCATAAATGCCATCTGTAATGCAGTTTAAAACTGAACAGATGAGGTTGACACAACAGCTTATACAGAAGAAGGAGTTCAGCCATAAAAACTTTGGGAAAATGAAGAACTCTGATGAATGATTTACTTTCTAAGAACTAAGTAAGCAGAGTTATGAAGAGTTTGCTATTTCTGTGAGATCAATCATAGAATAAAAGATAGGGAAAAGCGCCAGGAAACAAGATTTTTTTTAATCGCACTGAAATGTAGAATCTATGCTAATTAAAGCAGTAAACTTTACTTTTTGATTACTTTTGAATCAACACCACCACATTTCATGTTCAACATATTTTTTATATGTTCTTATTATGTATAGCTTTTTTACACTTTGTCCAAGCACTTTATCCAAGCATTATATGTTACATGTAATGATATATCAATGGATATTTATATCATGGGACACTATAATATCTATTGAAACCTTTTCCTTTAAAGTGGCAAGGAAATATGGCTTTTGTAAAAGCAATGGTCAACCCATTAAATGCATCAATATGCTACATT